AGAATTCTCACTTTTCAAATGGAAATGAACCATGAAGTCACACAACCCAAAGCTGTGATTTAATTATTGATATAATCAACTGCACCCTTTTGAGTTGTGCTAAAGTTAACTAAAGAAAGCAGATGTTCTACACAGTGTTAGTTATGTCGTAAGTTAAGAGAATTTGAATATCAAATAACTAAAATTTAGGACTGCCTTCATTCACTCCACAACACACATATTGTTGAGACAGACACCATACTTCTCAAAAATGATACACTTAAAGGACCCTCAGGACAAGAAATAAAAGACATGAAGGTGAGAGACCAGGTCATTTGGTCACCTCACTATTTAATGCAAGACCTAAAAGTTAAAGATTTGCAGGTCTTTCAGGCTCAAACCATTTAAATATTCAGCTCACCATTAATCTGGTCTCATTACTTTATTCCTTTCTGTTTTAACTGACGTATAAATTTAACTTACATCTCTCAATAAACAGTTTTCTAAAATTAAACTGAATTATGAAGCCTCTCATAATTACCTGTCAGAAGAAAGTTTTTCTACAGCTGAACAAAATTTTTAAAACAACCAATTTTCCAATAAAAGGGTCTATGCAAAACAAATGAAAGCAGAAGAGCAGTAAGATGGGTAATGGTGTCCAAACATGTTATAAAAGAGAGTAAACTATTAAGAATAGATCAGCTAGCATAGAAAGACTATCAGAGCTGGGTATTACCAAGCTCAAGCAAATTAATGCCTAATAAAGCAACTTACTATTTACATTTTTGCAATGTCAATCAGGACCAGATCTGGAGGCTTTTTACAACTAATAAACCAAACACAACATTAAATAAACATTTAAAAATCATTCCTGGGACTTCTCTGGTGGTGCAGTGGTTAAGAATCTGCCTGCCAATGCAGGGGACATGGCTTCGAGCCCTGGTCCAGGAAGATCCCACATGCCGTGGAGCAACTAAGCCCATGCGCCACAACTACTGAGCCTGAGCTCCAGAGCCCACGAGCCGCAACTACTGAGCCCACGTGTCACAACTACTGAAGCCCACTCGCCTAGAGCCCGTGCTCCGCAACAACAGAAGCCACCGCAATGAGAAGCCCACACACCGCAACGAAGAGTAGCCCCCGCTAGCCGCAACTAGAGAAAGCCTGCGCGCAGCAACGAAGACCCAATGCAGCCATAAATAAATAAATTTTAAAAATAAATAAATAAAAATAAAATGAAAATCACTGCCCCTCAAATAGAGCATAACCTGTCAATGGGCTTGGAAATGTGAAATGGATAGGTAATTATTTGTTAACTAAAACTTAAAAAAGGAAAAAGTATGCAATAAATCTGAAAAAGGAGGCTCAATGCCACTAGAAGAAGCGATAGCCCCATTTTTCTGTTCAAGTCACTCAGAATTAATCAATTTTCTGCAAAAAACATAGGGAAATCATATTATTCCTGATTTAAAAATTGAATTCACTGAGTGAGAAAAGTACTCTGTGTCTGGAAATTCATGCTTAGAACTCAGAATGTCTCTCACAAGTTTCTGCTTGACTCAAGAATTCAAATCAGCACCAATACTCAGCTGCAGAAATGAGCCAGGAAAGATATGTAGACAGTAAAGAATGAACAAACTTCAATTTGCAGATATCTCTGATATTCACAGAAGTTTCATCTCTATCCAAGTTTCTCATTACAAATTAACCCACCTAACGCCAAACTCTGAAGTACTAATTATTATTTGACCATGCTAAAAGGAAAAAAAGAACCAAAGAAATAACATCTATTACCCCTATTTACATAGTCCTAATCTTCGTGAAAGGTTTAAACTTGTTTTATATAAACCATCTCAATTCTCATGGGAGATAGATAAAGAGTCAGGTTTCTGGAGGAGAAACAAGCACAAAGGGATTAAGTATCTTGTCCAGCAAGTCACCAGTGAAAATAAAACCAGACCCAATTATTTAGCCTACAAAGTCTAAACAACCTGCTTTCCTTGGTTCATAAACTTAGCATAATATTTTAAAGTGCCTACAAATTATCCCAAACCATAGAACTTCACGGAACAATACATATAATCAGAACACTATGCCAGAATTGAGTATTCTGAACAAGAAAGTACTGCTTGCGCCAAATCAATGAAATGAACCAACACAATGGACTTTAAAAATACAAGGAGGAAACAATAGTTATATGGGAGAGAATTTTCAAAGGTCACTCTATTCATCTTATATCTTACTGCTCAAATTATCTGCCAGGAAGCCAAAGGGGTCAAACATGATCCTTATAATTAAATTCAACACATATATAAAAATCTCAAAATACCGCTAAGAGTTTCAATCAAAGCCATTTATATTTTAAAAACTTTGCCCTCCAAAAATAAAATCTTATAGCAATGTCTTTAGAGCGTTACTTTGCTGCCTTCATGATACGCTTCAGTATACACTTCAAATTTGAATTTTAAAAATGATTAGCTTCCAGTTTATTTTTAAAATATTTATATTTACAGATACAGATTACTTAAAATGTGGTGTTCTGCTCAGCTCTCATTATGTTTAGGCAAGATTCCCACTTCCACTCAAACTTATTATTTGAACTTACAATGGCTGCATTATTCAAACTTAGAATTTAGATACTTCCTAAATGGATAAAAGAAGAAAACTAATCAACCCAGAAAGCTTCCCAAGGTACCAAAGAGGACCTTTTATTTGAGATCATACTAGGTACCACATTATACAATACATGAAGCCCACAAAGCAATAATTGAAGTTATCTCTGCAACGTGATGAAATCATTTTTTTTGCAAAATCTGACAAGACTGAATTTTCAACTGTCAAAAGGGAAATCGTTTTCCAAGATTGTAGAAAACCCTGCTTACCGAGGCAATCTCAAAGCAGTTTCCTTAATCCTTCCAAATCCCAAAGAATCTAACACAAGCCACAGAACACTGAATGAGACCTGCTGAAATGTCTGTGCTCAAACCCCTAAAGGTTATTCCATATGTCCACACAATCCATGAAGTCTTTCCTAAATAAAGCTAACACTGCACTCCTCAACTTAAATTAAAATACCAGAAAATCCAAAAGCCTCTAACTAAATTTTACATGAACTATTTGGGGATAAAAGCTGACAACAAAGGATCTGTTATCTGCACCTTGAAGAGCCATAGAGCTCCATTCCTGCCACTTTCAGAAGCTGAATGTACATTACCTCTGTCTGCCTCTAGCATGGGACTCAGATATTACATCACTCAAATGCCTGAAAACTGCCCTATTACCCAGAAAGCACCAGGGTACCTGAGACACTGCACCAAGGTATCCCTTCCTCCCTCTGATACATAGCCCTCAAACACGCTGGGCCCTGCTCTCTTGCAGTATCTTCACAAAGACATCTGCCCTTCACCTGCTGCAATTCTGTTTCTGTTCACTCTTGGTATACTCCTCTTGACTCTGTATGCCTCTTCTATTTGCCCACTCATCTGGCCAATGCACTAGGACGATACTCCACCACACAACTCCTCCAAATTTGGGAGTGTGTACTCAGGTCTCCCTTAGCCCTTCCCCATTCACTGGGTTCTGGAACTAAAATCAGGCTTCACGATCTCTCTGATTCTAGAAGCATGAACTTTCATATATGGTAAAGGGCTTAATGTTCTCCATTTTCCAGTACCATCATTCCAGGATCCACACACACAACCCCACACACTCTCCAGTTCCTGTGAAGGTCAGAATTTAATCCCCTCCTCTTTAGTTTCTTTTTTTTCCAACTTCTACACTCCGCTCTTCTGTATACTTACAGTGACCTAAAAAACTGTGGCCCTTTTAATCTCTCAAGACCCCAAGTTTTCCAATCTCTCTCCACACTTCAGGACCCGCTCTTTCCATACTCTTTTGAAGCAATCTGATTTCCTAATTCTCTCCAGCCTGAATACTCACTTCCTGCTCTAAACCTGGGCCTCCTACTTCCCCACCGCTGCCCCAATCCAATACACAACCTACCCCTTTCTAGTAACAGACATGTCCACACACATCCCCACCTTACCCTTTCCTTACCCCACTACAGGCACTACGCATTCTTCTACATCCTCTACCCAAAGATATCCTGTCTTCCCCCTTTCCTTCCCTTTATTCCCTACCTACCTCCTTCCCTCTACCAGACAAAATCTAGCCCCCCAAACCCATGCTTCCCTCCCTGCACATATTGTATACTTGTCTTCAAACCTATCCCCTACGCATCCCCTCTACTGATTTCCCTCCCACACACTCCACCCCCCTTTCCTTGTCCCCAACTTCCCTCCACACGTGCTGCCCCAGAAACATTTCCTTCCATCTGCTCCCCCTCCCCACCTCACCTGCCACTCGAAGAACATCTCCCTCCCCCCACACCTCTGGCCCTCCACCTCACACACACTCCACTCCACCTGTCCCCTCCAAGGTCTCCCCAACCCCGAAGTCCCCTCTCTCGCTGCTCCCCCACCTTCATCCATACTTCCTTCAAGAACACCCTCCAGGGACTTCCCTGGTGGTCCAGGGGGTAAGACTCCACACTTGCAATGCAGGGGAACTAAGATCCCATATGCCATGTGGCATGGCCCCCCCCCCAAAAAAAAGAACACCTTCCATTTCACTCACTTGTCCTGTTCTTCGCTAAATGCCCCGGCATCTCCTCTCCATCCCCATCACTCTCTCCCACTGTCCCCACTTCTCTGTCAAACCCCTCAAACTCAGACCCTGATCCAAACGCCCTCCCCCTTTTGCCCTCTACTCATCTCCCCTGAGCACGGCTACCAGAGAGATACCTGCCTTCTGCCCTCACATGCTTTCCCCTGGCAGGGCCCTTCTATCCAGCCTCAACAGCCTCCTGCCTCCCTCCTGGCCAGACACTGCCCTCACACCTCTCACAGGTCTCTTGAAGCCTCTGGGCCTATCCTCCCGCACCTCCTGCCTGAACACCTCACCATCACTCCAGAGACCCCCCCCCGACACCCTCCTTCCCCGCCAACCCTTTCCACGCTCACCCTGCCACACTGTCCCCGAGCCGGACACCTCCGCATTTCCCTTCACATTTGTCCGCGGTCTTCCTGATTATCTTGCCCCCAGTCCCTGTCCCTCGCACGCAGCCCCGGCCGGGACATCGCCTCTTCCATGACTCCCCTGAGTCCCCAGTCTTCTCCTTCCATTCCCATCACACTCGCCCCTGCCCTCCCCAAGCCTCCCTCACACCCTCCCGAACCCCCACGGGCTGCCCCCCATTCGCCCGACCGCCCTCCAGCCCTTCCTCGCTCGCCCCGGCCCCCATGGGTCCCCAGAACCTGCCTGAAGGCCCTCAGCCTCCACTGGGCCGGATCCCTCACCCTTCCTTCTCCCCCAAATCTGCCCACACCCTCCACCCGCCCCCGCGCAGTCTCTCCCCCAGCCCCTGCCCCCAACGTCCTCCAACACCTGCCCAGAACCCTTCGTCCTCTATCCCACCCAGAGCCCCCGGTGCCAGGTCCCCCCACACTGCCCACGCCCTCCCTTCGCTCGGGGCCGGGACGCTGTGCCCCCCAAAGGTGAGGAAGGCTGCCCGCTGCCCTTGCCCGAAGCGGCCGGGGTACCGCAACTGCGGCGGCGGCGGCCGCCACAATGCCGGAGCCACGGGGGCCGGGATTGCTCCCCGCTCTCCGCCCCGGCCGCCGCTGCCGCCACCGCCGCCGCTGCTAAGGACGCACAACAAACAATGCGGGGCCCGGGCCGGCACCGCCAACCGCCTCAACCGCCGCCTTAACCGCCGCCCGCCCGGGACGGCCAGCCGCGCAGGCGCCTGCCCCTCCGCCGCAGCCTACCCGCGCCGCCGCGCTCTGCCCGCTCCCGGTCCCCGCTCCCGCTCCGCCGCCGCCGCCACCTCGTCCGCCTGCGTCTCCGACTCCTCAGCCCAGCGGCGGCGGCTGCGGCGGTTGCTGCCCTGGTGGCGCTCGCGGCTCCGGTCTCCGTTTCGGCGGCGGCGGCGGCGGCGGCGGCGAGCACGTGACGCATCCGAGGGCGCCCATTGGCCGGGCCGGGGGGCGGGCCCCGCGGCTGCTGGGAAACGGAAAGCCCGCCCCCTCGCTCGCCGCGCGCCCCCTCCACGCGCGCTCTGCCGCACCTGAGAGCGCCTGCCAGCGCCCGCCGCCGCCGTGCCGCGCCACCGCCTGCGCCAACTGCGCACCTGGGAGCGCGCAGGGAGCACACGCTGGTGGCGGCCGCATGCACCTGCGAGCGGACGCTTACGTAAACTGCGTCCCCGCCTTCCTCCCAGCGCCTGGCCCCCTCCTGCTGCAGCACCTGAGCCTCGCTGCGCTAGCGGCGTAACTGCTGCGGAGCGGGGACGAGCTGCGCAGGGAGGCGAGCGAAATGCACGGAAACTTCGTAACTTCCGAATCTGGGAGCGGCTCCCGGCCGCCGCCGGGGCGAGCCGGCCTTTCCCGCCCAGCGCCCCAGTGCTCGGTATCCGCCAACTCAAGTAGTTACGCAAACGGAGTAGGTGCCATAATGCCTCTCCAGGTGGAGGAGGGGGAGCCCAGGGAGCTTTGACTAGTTAAAAGGTTGGAACCCAGCTTCCACACCTCCTACACCAACCAGCTGTGTGACCTTGACCAAATTACAGAACCACTCATCCTCAGTTTCCTGGTCCGGGAAGCTGGGACAATAATTCCGATTTAGGAGCTGTTGGAGGGATAGATAAAAGACAATAGGTGCGAATTCTAGCACATTGCAGTTTAGTCAGCAACCTCCTCTCCTCCCACTCTTCATGGATCTCCCTGGGACTGAGTTGGGGCCAGGACCTCTCTGACCTCCTTAGAGTTAGGTCAGACTTTGGCTGAACCCCTGCCCAGCCTATGCTGGGGAAGAAATGAAGGTTTGCTTTTTATTTTACGTTCATTATCCCGGCACCTTCTTGGTACCCAGCATTCTGCCGGCGAGGTGGGCCCCTACTACTGAGTACCTCATGCATGACAGGTGCTGTACTGGGGGCTGGGATGCACAGGTGAATGAGATAGGTCCTTGCCCTAAAGGAATTCCCAGCCTAGGGTGGAAATGACCTGACCACACAGAGCCAAGGCTTGGAGAGCTGGGGGTACGGGAGGGATCTCCCACAGCGGCTCCATTCAGGGCGTTTCCATCTTTCTAACATACTAGGCTCAAATATTTTAACAGCTTTGCTTCATTCACAGGATAAAGTGTAAACACCCTAACTCAACTTAAAAGGCTTTGATGGGCTTCCCTGGTGGCTCAGTGGTTAAGAATCTGCCTGCCAATGCGAGGGACATGGGTTACGAGGGACACGGGTTAGAGCTCTGGTCCGGGAAGATCCCACATGATGCAGAGCAACAAAGTCCGTATGCCACAACTACTGGGCCCGCGCTCTAGAGTCCACACACCACAGCTACTGAAGCCTACATGCCTAGAGCCTGTGCTCCACAACAAAAGAAGCCACCACAATGAGAAGCCTGTGCACTGCAACTAGAGAAAGCCCACACACAGCAAAGAAGATCCAATGCAGCCATAAATAAATATATTAATTAAATACATTTTTTTAAAAAAAGGCTTTGATGATCTGGCCTTAAATTTCAAGTTACACGCCCTTGCCTTTGCCCCCTCCTCAGGCCAACTTGACCCTCCAGTTACACTGAACATGAGAACTGTGGTTGACATAATATGGCACTTCTGAGCCTCCTGAGTCAAGTGCTAGGCCCCAAATCCTTTTCTGTACCCTCTCCCCACCTCCAACCACCATACCTTTCTTTATCCTCCTGAAAAACTCCTTGGTGTTCTTATCAGTCAGCTCAGAATGTATTCTCTGCAGAACTCCTTGGCTGCCTTCAACACATTGCCTAAACTCCCACTGCTTTGCACATAGCCCCATGAAACCATGAATTCTTATAAGACTAGATTGTAGTTTTTTTGCTGTCTGTCACCTCCCTGGACTGTAAGCACTTTGAGGACAGCGTCATCTCTCTACCTTCGTGGGGTAGGAAGGACATGAGTTGAGATCATTAAAGCTGGGCTTTGCAGGAAGGACATGAGTCTGTTGGGGGAGGAGAGACAAGCTGCACTAAAAAAGTCTGGGGTCAAGTGAGATAATAATATGTCATACCTAACAATATGCAAAAGGTTGTCCTAAGGATCCAATGAGAAATATATCTCAGGAACTAAGTATGGTGCTTGGCACTTGGTAAAATTTTAAATTTTTTTTAAATAGGAGGATTGGACAGCATTAAGCATTTAATGGTATCTCTTATTCAAATATTTTTAAAAATATTTATTTATTTATTTGGCTGTGCCTGGTCTTAGCTGTGGCGGGCAGGATCTTCCTTGCCACTTGCGGGATCTTTGTTGCGACATGCGAAGTCTTAGTTGTGGCATGTGGGATCTAGTTCCCTGACCAGGGATCAAACCCGGGCCCCTGCATTGGGAGTGTGGAGTTTTAGCCACTGGACCACCAGGGAAGTCCCCTCCAATATCTTTTTTAGTTGAAGTATAGCTGATTTACAATATTGTGTTAGTTTCAGGTGTACAGCAAAGTGATTCTTTTTTGTTGTTATTTATTACAAGATATTGAATATAGTTCCCTGTGCTATACAGTAAATCCTTGTTGTTTATCTATTTTATATATGGTAGTATGTATCTGTTAATCCTATACTCCAATTTATCCCTCCCTTCTCCCCTCCTCTTTAGTAACCAAAAGTTTGTTTTCTGTGTTTGTGAGTCTGTTTCTGTTTTCTCTTATTCCAATATCTTTATTGGATTTAGAATTCCAAACATTCCTGACAAAAACATGCAAATGAAACCACAGTAAAGAAAGTAAAATTTTTCAAGTATGTCTCTTCCTTCCTGTCCCCCCTCCACTCTCTTTACCCCTAATCCCACCTTCCAAGGCAGCTACTTTTAAGTTTTCCATGTCCTATAACGTATGTCCAGAGAAAGAAGAAGATTGCAGAAAATTATGTACTTATAATATGTATGTATACTTGTATTCTGCATAGAAAAAGGTTGGAAAGGATTAAACACCAGTTACTACTGTTATGCCTGGAAAGTAGAATTGGGCGTGGAGTTGGGGGACTAAATACTTCTGCACTGTTTTATTTTATTTATTTATTTATTTTTTTCCCCGGTACGCGGGCCTCTCAGTGTTGTGGCCTCTCCTGTTGCGGAGCACAGGCTCCAGATGCGCAGGCTCAGCAGCCATGGCTCACGGGCCCAGCCGCTCCATGGCATGTGGGATCTTCCCGGACCAGGGCACAAACCCGCGTCCCCTGCATCGGCAGGCGGATTCCCAACCACTGCGCCACCAGGGAAGCCCCTGTTTTAATTTTTTAAGAATACATATACATTATACATAAAGCACATTTTTAAAATTTTACTGAGGTATATTTACATATAAAATTCATGCATCTCAGGTATACAAATCAGGGATTTTTAGTAACTTTACCAAGTGGTGCAACGTCAGTATAAATCAGTTTCAAATCATTTTAGATTCCCCATAAACCCTTCATTCCCATTTACTGTTAATCCCCATTCCCACCCTTAGCCACAGGCAATGACTAGTCTACTTTTGCTCTATTTTTGCTTTTCTAGCTATACTAGGTGCATTTTTTAATCAAATAGAAGTTTTAGGAAAAGAAATAAATAAAGGTATCACCTCCTAAGCCCACCCAGTGATAGTAATTACTGTTAATATTTGTATCTGGGGCTTCCCTGGTGGCGCAGTGGTTGAGAGTCCGCCTGCCAATGCAGGGGACACGGGTTCGTGCCCTGGTCTGGGAAGATCCCACATGCCGCGGAGCGGCTGGGCCCGTGAGCCATGGCCACTGAGCCTGCGCGTCCAGAGCCTGTGCTCCGCAATGGGAGAGGCCACAACAGTGAGAGGCCCGCGTACCACAAAAAATATATATATATATTTGTATCTGTTGTTCCAAGCTTTTCCTAGGCATAAAAATATATAACTTTTACGAAGTGAGATTATAGTATACCTTCTGGGTTTTTTTTTCACTTAACAATATAAAGTAATTACACCTCTCTTTGTGTCACTGAATACTCTTTGGCATAATGTTGTACCTTAAGAATGATTTAATTAAACCAAACCTCTATGTTGGGTGTTTGAGTCTTTTCCAGTATTTTCACTGTTATAAACAGGG